TGCATCGTGAATTTTGAGGTGGGAAAAACACACTCTGTTTCGTCCGCGTCATCGCGTTTGCCACATAGATTGAACAAGCCAGAAGGTGTGCCGGGTTGCAATGGATGTCTCTAGCAATAGTGCTGATAATAACATCTGGCGGACGATCCAGTACCATCGCCGCGGCGTAAAGTGCACCGAGTGACGTCACGCGTCGAGGCGACCAGGACACTTGCGCGATCGCAGAGCGAACCTAAACAAGCTGGCCACAGGAGCGACACTTTTTACCATACACAGATAATGATCGATCGACTCTCCCGTCCGCATCGGCGCTGGCGGATCGCTGGCGTGTGCAGTACCGATGTTTGGCGGGATGTGGGCGCGTCGGCTGCAGCCGGCGACGTCATAGGCTGGCTGAGCGCCGCCGCGCCGCTGCTTCTCTTCCTGCTCTGGCTGGTGTGGTGGCGTCCCGACCCGGCGCTCGTGGCGTCTTCTACCCTGCCGCCGCTGAGCGCGGACCCTCCTCCTGCGGCCGTTCGACTCGGAGCGCTGGCTGACTGTGCCTGTGGCGCCGCCCGCTCCCGCCCGACGGCTGTATCTTCCTGCTGGAGACGTCGGGCCGGCGCCACATCACCCCGCGCGAGTGGTGCACCGTTGAGTCGGCGGCGTCCGCGCACCCGAGCATGCTCGTCGTGTTGCTAGCCGCAGCGCCACGCCTGCGCCGCTCCGCGCTCACCGACCGGCTGCTGGAGCGCAACAACATAATCCTGGCTCGGCTCGACTTTGGGTCGCTGTTCGAGCGGTGGTACCAGAGTCGCGCCGTGCTGCGGTCGCCCTGGCCGGCGGTCCACATGAGCGACGCGGCGCGCATTGCAGTGCTGTTGCACCACGGCGGCATCTACCTCGATACGGACGTAATTGTACGCCGCTCACTGGCCGGTGAGAAGAGAGAGGGAAAGAGATAGAGAGAAAGAGAGAGGAAGAGAGTGGGAGGGAGGGGGAGGCAGAGACAGAGAGAGAGAGACAGAGAGAGGGAGAGAGAGAGAGAGAGAAAGAGAGGAAAGAGAGAGGAGGAGAGTGGGAGGGAGGGAGGGAGACAGAGGGAGAGGGGTGGGGGAAGAGGAAGAGGGGCGGAAGTCCGTGTGTTGTTGTCATACGGGGATGGTTTTCGAGTCGTGGGTGGGTACGAGTTCAGCACTTGCCGAGATACTGTGGCGTAACCAGGCGGACAAGCTCCCCATTTGAGGTTGCAAAGGCGCTCCGGGTGTCAAAGGCAACATTACTGTAAAATGCTCTCAAATAGGGGTGTCTATCTTTATGCCTGTTTGGGGTGAACCGAGTCGCCCATAATATCCCCCCGCTTATTTTGTGTCAACGGACTTACACACTTTGTTCTGACGAGTGTCAGTTTGTATTGCAAATTGTATTATCATTTCTAAAAACCTTCAAATTTAACAGTATAGCAGTCCTGCAAGGACGAATCTGCGGAAGGAGGCGAAACTGGAGACACCTTCTGATATGGAAGAAGGCAGATCTCTAGAAGCCGCCTTAGCGTGCTGAAGGCACACTTTGAAGGCGGCCAGGGCCGGCAGCACGTACTTTTGGTTGGGTGCGGGACAGGGAAAGTCATTAAGGACTTTGGTTATTTCCGTCCTCCGTGGCTTTTCAGCATTACATGTCAGGCCTTTGTGTGTCGTGTGGCTCACGCTGCGCAGTCCGCTGATCGCGTATCTGCTCAACTGTTACGTGTGATCTGCGATGAGGGCAAACACGACTTTACATTGCCAGGGTAGGGGTTGTCAGAGCGTTGATATGCGCGCTGCTGTATAAGAAAACATATTTGTTTCGTTTCTATAAGGCGACTGTATTATGGCGATGGATATCTGGATACATTGATGGATACAGTTACGAGGTTTGGAGGCCAAACCGTCTCGCCAAATTATGCAGTCTACTCGAGTTTGATTTTGTCGTCCTTGGGGAAGGTCGCTGCCCCTCCGTTGTAAAATGCTGTTCTATCTAAAGTGCAATTTTGTGTAAATCACGAGCGTTGCGGATAATGTCTCTCTGAATTGGGCGTCGTACCACATTTTGCATTTGACCTACGCCATGGCATCAGTAATTGTACTCAATGCCATGAATATTATCAAGGATGCCCAGCAATCGACCTATATTGACTGATAGTTGTGTAGAATTAAGATTAAAAGCAAGCTGCTTGAATTGCGTGCGTAAAAATGCGCTGTCAAAACAACGTTGAGGATGAGTTTGTTCCAATAGTGGTGTAGCAAATGCATGTGCCATTCATTGAACCGCTACATGTATGTGGATTATATTTTTGTTGCGCAGCCTGAGGTGTGCGTAAATTTCTCTGTAATGGATGCATGTTATATTAGGTGTCATTTTAATTTTATGTGAACCAGGTCTTCAGCATGCTAAATGACCAGCCTACAAAAGAGTTTGAATTATAAGCGTAAGATTGGGCAGCATTCAATTTCACCATTTCCTGCTGCACACAGCGATACACGTGAGACCTGGAACCCTTGTGACCTAAATGTCCGATTTGATCTCGAATCGTTGAATTCCCTACAATGGTAGAAGAGCGCAGCTACATAATTAAAAAGAAAGCGACCACACAAATGAAGCTCAAACTGTTTCGTGATATTGTCCAAAAGGCCTTGCACCGTCAAAAACGATAACACTTTTCCAATTAATGGTGCCACGTGTTTGTCAAGATTTAACCAAGCATAACTGCTTTTTATGTCACAGGTGACATAATTCGACACAAACGATTAAGGGGCAGTTCAGACATCGTCTTTCTACAAGTCGTTTGCCTGCAGGGTGAAAAACGCCCGCCAAAAAGTATATTTTTGTGCAAAGACACCAATGATCGGGCCGTAAGCCCGACGACAACAGAGCGCTCAAGATATTTTGGCCGCGTTCCCAGTGTTGCGAAATGCGTCGTGGCATGTTCGTCTTCCAGGACAAGTGGTCTTATATGGTCCGCCAATGAGGGTCATTTAACCGTTAGTTTGATAGTGTAAGCTTGGTTACAGGGCAGCCCACGGCCGTGCAATCGCATTGCACATTAAATGACCTTTCATGCTATTCGGATAAGAGACCGAGGCAAAGTGGGTCTGTTGCAGATGTATAAGAGTTATGGGATGGCAAATTAGCACGCCCTCGGGGGGGGGGGGCTCAAACTGACCCCCCGAAGGTTTTTCCAAAATGGTTTCCGAACGGCACGGCACAGTCGCGCCAAATTTTGCGTCGCTGTAAACAAATGAGTTGAGAATCGTTGGGCATCAAAAATGGAGATGTACCTTTTAAGGTCGCTGGCCTATGGCCGGCCAAAGTCGGGCCATGGTTTCAGCGAAGGTAATTTCTAGGGAATCGTTCAATCTGATCCAACAACAAGTGTTAGACGAGGCCCCACATTTCCGAGATACTTTGTAAGGTAACACAACAACTGAATGAACAAGTTACATTGATCTAGGGTTAGGCATAAAGGTCAGACCAAAGTCAAAAACCAGCTTGTTGTATTACTCTGGGGTTTGCTGCGTGAGGTAATTTCTGGTGCATATTTGCAATTTGTTGATAACAGGAACCGCACTATACACCCTTCATGGACTTCTTTAAGGCCATAGCAGGTCATTGACCTAAAATGACTCGGGTCGACTGTTGTGTCTCCAAACCGATTATTAATGTTAACGTGAGTTCCAGTTACCAAGTATGAACAAGCAAGCGCGCGGCACGGCGGCTCCGGGCCGACTGCCTGGCGACGCCCGACAGTGGCGCCACTCGCGGTGTGCCTATGAACTACAACTACGCTGTCGAGGCTACGATACAACATCGACATTCTGTTTTTAGGAACATACTGCCTAACGTAACCTTAGTCGCTTTTTCAAATGCAAAACTCAATACAGTCTCGCATGATCTTAGTCACCATGATCTTTAAAGATTAAAAAGGTCACTAACCTTAAATGAGCGTGTACCCTTTTGCTTAGAACAGTTACCTTGGTTCCAGGGGCCCTTTGAAAACTAATCTGGAACTTGACTTTGTTTGACCTTATTCGACACGAAGGTCATGACCTAGCAAATTCAAACTTTGGCCTAAATGAGTTCACGTACAGGTCAAGGCATCTTGTGAATTTAGTGTTTCTAGCTCTCTTAGTTCCTGAGATCTCAGGGGGTTCAATTTGACCTCCCACCCAAGCGAAGGGCATCCAACCGGCACCCGGGCGCGCGTTAAAAGTGACAGCGATGATCTATGTCCAGCATGGAGTCATATCCAAAATTTGTCTTGGTAAAATTTTTATTTTCTGCGTGGTTTTTCATTTTCTAACTCCTCTGAATCCATGATTTAAACTATATATTGATGAAAATAAAAAGCTGCTACCCAGTTGTGATGTCCTCTGAAAAATTACAACAAAGAATGAGGGGCTTCGGTATCATGCTTGGATGCGGACAACAGCTAACGTTTGGCGGACAGAAAACCTCAAATTATAAGGTGGTTCACCCCACTGTTTTAAAACTTCCCCTTCATTGGGGACGTCATATGAGGTTGCGGCTTCAAGTTTATTCAGCTGCACCCTCCATAGCAACGACCATTACGAGGAAGAATGAAAGAAGATCGTCTTTGTGTAATTGCCCTCTCTTTTCTATGTTTTTCCAACACTAGGGAACACATGGGGGGGGGGGGGGCAGAACACTCACAAAAGAAAACGAATGGACACCCGTGTCCATAATGTCTCTACAAAATCAAAAAGTGGCCCCCAATGCCTGCAAAGTGAATTCCGAGCATATAATCAGGCCGATACGCGACGAGGAGGGGCCTAATGGCGGGAAAAGCCTCTATAACCCAAGTTGTCCTCCTCTTGCCCCCCTCCGAGCTACGCCATCGTGGAGATGATGATGATTTGCGTTGCCTTTGGTGATGTATAGCAGGCATAGGGCAGTTGCTGCTGTTGCCGTAGTAGTTGCATGTTGTTTTGCTGCACGACCTGCTCTGTCTCGCGCTACGTGCGATCCATCGCTGGGCAACCAGCGTCCTCCGGTGATTGCTGGACCCAGTGGCGCGTGACCCGATCAGCCGCCAATCTAGGTCAGGCCCGTGACCTTCGTCTGCCGCCACGGCCGCAGCGCTGGACGATGGTGCAGGCCTGGAGTCGGAGCGAGCCGTGGCGTCGGGTGTGCTCAAGTTCAGCCGCGACTCGGCCGTGCCGCGGCTGCTGGCAAGCTGCCTGACAGAGGGCTACGACCCGTACAACTGGGGACACAACGGGCCCGGCGTCGTCACCGAGGTGCTCATCGAGGGCTGTGGCCTCCGAGACCCGCCGCTGACGACCACCCACTGCGGAAACTACACCATCTACGGACGGTGAGAGCGGACGGTCACTACACCATCTACGGACGGTGAGAGCGGACGGTCACTACACCATCTACGGACGGTGAGAACGGACGGTCACTACACCATCTACGGACGGTGAGAGCGGACGGTCACTACACCATCTACGGACGGTGAGAGCGGACGGTCACTACACCATCTACGGACGGTGAGAGCGGACGGTCACTACACCATCTACGGACGGTGAGAGCGGACGGTCACCCCACCATCTACGGACGGTGAGACCGGACGGTCACCCCACCATCTACGGACGGTGAGAGCGGGGACCACCCCACCGTCTACGGACGGTGAGACCGGACGGTCACCCCACCATCTACGGACGGTGAGCGCGGGGACCACCCCACCATCTACGAACGGTGAGAACGGACGGTCACTACACCATCTACGGACGGTGAGAGCGGACGGTCACTACACCATCTACGGACGGTGAGCGCGGACGGTCACCCCACCATCTACGGACGGTGAGTAGCGGACGGTCACTACACCATCTACGGAAGGGTGAGAGCGGACGGTCCACTCCACCATCTACGGACGGTGGAGAACGGACGGTCCACCCCACCATCTACGGGACGGTGAGAGCGGGGACCACCCCACCATCTACGGACGGTGAGAACGGACGGTCACCCCACCATCTACGGACGGTGAGCGCGGGGACCACCCCACCATCTACGAACGGTGAGAACGGACGGTCACTACACCATCTACGGACGGTGAGAGCGGACGGTCACCCCACCGTCTACGGACGGTGAGAGCGGACGGTCACCCCACCATCTACGGACGGTGAGACCGGACGGTCACTACACCATCTACGGACGGTGAGAGCGGACGGTCACTCCACCGTCTACGGACGGTGAGAAGGGGACGGCTACACCATCGACGAACGGTGAGTGGGACCAGCCTACGACCAATGAGAGCAGACGGTCTATGCACCAACTACCGACGGTGAACAGGGACCGCTTCACCACCTCCATTCGCTGAGTGGGGACCGCTGCACCAGCTACGGCTGGTGAAAGCGGGACGACGTCGACACGAACCATGGACGGTAAGCGGGGGCCTTTACACCATCCTTGGCCGGTGAGCGCGGGAACCACTGCATCAGCTATGGCCGGTGAGAGCGGACGGTGGCTGATGAAGGCATGCTACGTCCACGGAGAGGACGGTCCAGATAAAGTGTCAGACCAGCTGACGCCGCCATTAGTGCAGAGCGTCAGCCGGCGGTGCAGCGCTGCTGATCGCGACCAGGTGAGACGTTCCGAGCAGGGCTGAGGCAGGCGGCGGGTCTCCTCTCTTCGAACGATGCGCAGTAATCCGACGTATGACGTGCTCAGGGCGGACTGTGCCTCCAGTCTAGGGTATGCTTGTGGCGTGCTGTTGCGTAATGCTGTTGACGTCGTGGATCTCGGGCTACACGTGCACCCGTTTTTAATGCTTCGACAGGTGAATTCGAAATCTTGTGTCACTCACACACAGCACAGCTGTGCCCCGTCCCCGCCCGCCAACAGATGTGCCCCTCTGCGGTCACCATAACGCCGTCCTGACCCTCTCCCCTCCCACGGCTGCAGGCGGCGTTTTTACGCCATCCCATCGAAAAACTGGAGCCTGTTTTTGGAGCTGGACGCGCGGGACGCCGTATTGGAGCGCGTGAACAGCTCGCACTTGGTGCACACCTGGGAGTGGCACACGCGCGAGCGCCGCGTGCCGCCCGGCTCCGCGTACCACCAGCTGGCCGAACAGTACTGCCCCTGGTCGCTGCAGCAGGGCGGGGCCGACTTCTAACCGACGGGGCATGTCTTTGGGCTATGTCTGTAAGGCGGAGCTGACACTTGACTATAATGATGGTCTTTTTTGCCTCCATTGCAGCCCTCCCCCCCCCCCCCCCCAACCGTCATAACTCACATTCTGGACAGCAGCAAGAAGAGCGCCGCAAAAACTCCGGTGGCTCGACGAGAAACAGCAAGAGGACAAGATAGCAATGAAACAATTTTGCGCCATGTTTCAGCAATTTGTTTGATTATTTTAAGGCTTCAGCTCAACTTGAGTGAAAGCAAACGATACTAATTGTGTAGACAGATGTAGACTAGACTAGACTAGATTGTGTAGACAGCTGTTCTGACGGTACCTCAGCATGACGACAGGCGTTGAGCAGCGCCTGTGGGCTCGTGGAGGAGCTGCTGGATTGCCGGGTATTGGTCGGCCCGATCTCGGCCAGCAGTACCTGAGCTGTCTTCCGGCTCATGCAAAAGCACAGCTGGTGCTGTTGTGGGTCAGCAGTGCGGGGCTCTTGAACAATGTTAGCGTACTCGCCGCGGGCTCGTCGGCGATGGAGAATCTCCGTCACCCATCCCGGATGTCGTTTAGTGTGACGCCGTTGTTGCCCCATCAGAAGTCTGGTTTGGGCTTGGGCGATGTTGATTTCCACAGCGACTTGCGCTTTGGATTTCTTACGTCTGATGCTTCCAAGATGTTTCGTGTTTTTGCTGTTATTTGTGTTTGTGACCTCGTGTTATACTTTAGTATATTCCGCTCTGGTTGGCATTACGAGAAATACAAGCGGTCGGATGCTGTTTTGCTATTATTGCTGTCTTGCGCATTACTGATAGCAAAAAATGTGGTCGACTCTTTGCAAATACGCATAGTGGCAAAGAGCACTGTTGTTACATGTTTGAAATTTATCCGTTTGTGGTTTTAGAAAAATCCTGGCCAATCTTATCCGCGCGTACACGACTACAAGGGATTTTTTTTCAATCCGGCGTGTAATTTCCGCCATTCGGCCATTCAGCGACGCGCCGAATATTGTTAGTGGGCGGCCATCTTACAGCGCTGGTATCGAGCACCGGTAGCCAACGTTCCGCCGCACAGCGCGCGCACCGCCGCCGCGGAGCTGGCTTCCGGTGGACCGTTTGGGTACCTGGCTGCGATCCAGATGGCACAGAATGCATGCCGTCAGAAGTCCGCCAGGCCGGCAAAACGCCGGAGACCAGGCGCAGTATTCCAGAGCCGATGGAGGGAGTCACAGTGAGGCGACTTCGCCGCGTTAGGAACTAGATGGCGTTCGCAGCAGAAGACAGACAAAACCGGCAGGCTGTGTGATTGTTAGCTTGTTTTTCTTGTTTCTTGTTGTTTTTTGTTTAGTTTGTTGTTTATGGGGCGCCAACTCACCCTTCTCAGCAGAAATTACTCCCCAGCAATCAACTAGGCTACAAGCTATGGCACAAGTGTCAGCAAAATGTTAGGCCTGAAGGCATCCTGAATTTTGTGCCAGATGTGGCAAGTTCTATTCCCAATTTAGGCTTCTGCTTTACCCCACATGCTCCAATTATTACAAAACCTAAGTCGTTTGAAACACATCCACAAAATCTCCCAAGGCTTTAACACTAACATGATCCTGAATCTGGCATCCTTATTTTACTTTTCAGGGCATTTCTTACGGGCATTTTCAAATACGCACTCTTGAAGGTACACAGACATCGACATAGATTTGAAAGTACTGATTTGAAACAGCTCTAGGCTTCTGGTATTAGCTTTTTTTCTAACTGGCAAGGCACACCAAATATGTCAATGGGGTGTATCAGTCTAAATATTGCCCCAAAAGCAGCACTTGTGTTTCATTCATGGCACTACCTGCCAGGCAAGTGCACTCTAAAAGTAAAAATGTCCTGAAACTTTGTGCACGTTGCCGTCATGCACTGGGCTTATCCCCGAAAGCTACATCAACCAACCCCACAATGGAATTTTCCGCGGCTCCTGTCCCAATAAAACATTATGAAACCTGACTAAATTCCCGTGCCTTTTTCTGAAGTGATTTTTTTGGACAATAATGCTGTCCCCATGCTGATAGTGAAATTATAGCATCAGGTGTGAATTGGAGTTACCTGAACATCTTCACACAGTAAAAAAAAAATGTTCAGAGCACAGATATTCAGTCACATGTCCCATTGACAGCCGTACCACTAAACATACTGCTGGACAGGAACCTGTGCAAAATTGGGTATGCCTCATCTACATGCCTCGGCTAAGGTATGGAGGAAGCTAACTTCTACTCACAACTCACACCGCACACCCATCGAATTTTGCTTACGCACAATTGTAGAAAATTACGTTATCAGTTTTCAAATCACCGTTTTTGCATCTCATTCAATTCCTTATTGACACTAACAAACTAAGGCGTTGCGCGAACTCGGCTTGACAGTTGCATGACGTCATCAAGTTCATATGAAGAGCTTACGCCTTTAGTGAGCGGTCAAATATTTTATGCAGGAAAGACAGGGCAGTAAGGACGAGGAGCACATTAGAAGCGGTACTGGAAGGACCCTTCCAAAAATTGGGAGGCAGCGAAGTGTACCCACAAATCGTCCACAAATTGTCTCCACACCCGGCAGTGCTGAAAGACGTCTAGGCCACTAAACACGACATCCTCTTTCAGTGTTTTAATGCGCAAAATTTCATCACAATCGACATTGAAAGCATACGTTGAATAAACTTTGATCAATGAGAGCATCTCAGTCTCTTCTCACGCAGAGTAGGCATTGATATGAGTCTTCTACTCTCGTAAGAGAGGGGACGCTTTTTTACCGTCTGCAGACAATGTATATACATTGGCGGCATGCGACGTGACATACTTTTTATCAGCAGCAGGATATCCGGGGCACCAAGATGAGTTGTAATGTGTTCGATACCTAATGACATGACGGTTTTAACCAATAACAAATGAGGGTGTAAACGATCATGTGCCTCTCATCGCGACAACAAATGGGAGGGAATCCCATGATAACGAGTGATTCAGTAAGTTTTACAGATGTTCAAATTGCATCTTACGTTTTACCACCTTGGCCTAACATTTAGAACACGCAGTGTTGTAACCACTCAGGAGGTCAAGGCGACCATTAAACATTTTATCAATGTCAGCGATTTTCACGTACCTAATTGCAACCTATGCGAACCATTGTGTCCCAATAAATGGAACTGTATTATGCGCGT